TCAACTGACTGTGACGCGCGCACAGACTATGGATTTGCACTGGCGGAGAAAAAAATGCACGTTTTGTCGTTTGTCCGTGCGTGCATTTTATACCGTTCCAGGTATTTGCCTGGCCGCCAACGTACTTTGTAGCATCACCACTTGTTTATAAATCTAGCCATGTAGCTCGGACTAGGATGCGTTCCACCATGCTTTGAACTGTCCGCTCAGCACCTAGCCACAGCATAGCCCCAAGCGACATGCGCTGTAAATCACAGTGCACAGAATTCGTTTCTCATTACCTGTCGAGTTATTATTCTCCATGTTTGCATGTGTGAAAATATCTAATTTGTGTTGAAAAGTGTTGTGTGAGTAGAATTTTTGGTCAGATCATCTTTTCTTAGGAACGCGTCTTAGGTCATGTAATGAGACCTTATGGGAAATACGTTTCGATTTATGATTTGTCACTTTACCTTCAGGTTTTTAAGAATGCAACCAAAAACGTACATCGAGGTATTGCCCAATATTAGGGTCTAGCGGAACGCACCCAGCACAGCAGGGCCGATTGAGGCTTCATGCTGCGTATTGGTGCAGCGAGCCAAATGAATGCAAGGCAGAGAGAATGTGCGTCAGAAGCAGCAGAGTGGCCGGTGCTGGGTTTCTAGCGTGGGTGTTTATTGCGTGCAGTATGTAATGCAATCCAAGATCACAAATGTATCTATGCATGTATATATGTAGAGTTTGATTTGATTAGATACGTGTGTTTTCTGATGAAATCGCCCAATGATGCTGGATGTAATTACCAGCGAAACGTCACGGTACTGAAATTGAAAACGAAGTAGTCACTAATTGGCACGATTTGTTGAGTGACAAACCTTGCTGGTTGGCTCTGTCGGGTGGTGGCGGATTAACGACACATTTATACTCACGTGATCTAACCCCCCAAAAAAAAGCTTTATTGTGAATCATATTGGTCGCGAATGCCTACGTGTAAACTGACACGTGTTTTTATGAGACCCTTACACCGAGCGTTGAGGACAGGGCTACAAGTCGCACTGGGAATGGCTCTGGCTCCTGCCTGCATAGCTTTACTGGGGCCAGCCCATCATCAAGGATCTGGATCCTTATTTTCAGTTTAATCAGAAGAATCTGAAAGTTTCGGTACGGATGCGAAGCTTCGGATGCTCTGAAAAGTTCTGTGATACTCATTCAATTAATTAATTCAATTTTTTTTTAGTAAAGACTCGCCCCGAATAAAGAGGGCATCGCAATACATTACACTATAAATTTAAGAAAGGTCGTTCTACCTATAAAATCAAGACACGTATAAAAATATCAAATTGAGAGGACATACTTCAGGATTGATTCAAAAGTATGATATCAAAGGAAATGACATCGCTTGCATTGCGTCACTGCCATGCTTTTCCCACCTAAAGTAGTGTCACTTGGCATGGAGCAAGTAAGGGAATTGGTGAGTGTGGTGGGAGGTTCAATGGGTAAATTGGTGAGTAATTGGGTGGGGTAGAATGAGTGAATAAATAAATGGGTTTGTCAGTTGTGTGAAGAAGCGAGTTGCGAGTATTGTCAAAGAGAATGAATGATTGTGTGGCAGAGCACGTGCCGAGATGAGAGACTGCGTTTGGGCACTCAATTTAAAGAGCCCGAATGACAATTCGTCTGTGAATAACGATGTAACAACACCTCGAGATAGAGTAACAGCCTACCTAGGAGGCTACCACAAGATACAGGAAGATCAGCTTGCTAGCTCTTCCGCCTTCGAGACCTCTTCCTCCACTTCCTCTACCTGCAAGTTCTCCAACTGCTCTTACAATTCCTCCACCTCAAACTGTACTGTATTGTGCAATTTATTTACGTATTGCTATGTTTTTGTTAACTATCTGAATGCGTTCATGCCTTCGTATGGGATAATGTCTATTTGAGTGGTTCTGTCAACGGGAGTGCTCCTTTACGTATGAATGACGATATCTCTGCGTGTGTTCTTACTTCTCTGTGTTCTTGTCTCTGCGCGTGTTATTGTATGTACGTAGGCGCCAATTCCCCAAGCTATGTGGCTCTATACTTTATTGGGATATTTGGCAAATTAATAAGGAAGAGTTCGACATCTGTTAACAATATATCCGTGTTTTACCTAATATACATGCGTTGATTTTTGTTTGTCCAGCCCATTATGCCAGATAATCATTGCGTTTCTTTTCCAAACTTGTTCCGCAAAAAAAACAACGAACAAACCCAAACGGGGCACGCAGGGAAACTGGTCGGGCGTGGGCGATGATGATGATGATGATCACGACGGCGGTGGCGGCACGGCTCTCAAAATAAATATCAGCTGCCAGCTCGAATTGTTTCACAAGTGGAACACGATCTGCCTGGATCGCAGGACGGTACACACCCCTCGCCCGCCCGCCGGGCCGTCCGCTCGCCGACCCGTCCGCGTGACCGCCACCCCGCCGAAATGTCCCAGTGAACGTGCGCGGCGCAAACTTTCCACGGCGCACGGAGCCAAGCAACCACGAGGACCTCCCGCTTTTGGCAGCACCTCGGTTCACCCGCCGCTCACGGGTGAACCGTAGAAGCACCGGAGCACTCGACAGAACAGCTGCTGCCTGCCGTGTCTCTCTCCGCGTGCGTGAGTGCGGCGTCTTCCACGTGCTTAGCTCCTTCACGTGCTCCATCGTGCGCAAGCAGCTGATCCGCTGTGTTTATCAAGCGGTGGGCTTGGGTTGAGGTTTTCATATTCACGCTTTGGCTGCTGCGAGCAGTTTCAGTTTCTATCGGGAGGCAAGCGGGAAGCCAGCTGCTCTCTCCCTCTCTATATATAAGCAGACGTTTGCCTCTGATTTAGTTTTTCCTCTGCGACAATTGACGTCAGTCTGTGGAGCATTTTCATAATTCTCTTAAGAAAGGTGCAACCAAATTTCGGCCGGACTTAAACAGCGTCTTCAAATAAAACAAGCCTCGAAGGAAAACGTCCCGTTGGAATACGAAGTAGCGCTGCTGGTAGCTTGGCTCAAGTTATTTATCTTTCGGTTTTAATTTATTTATTTGTTAAACCAATCTTCAAACCCGTGTTGGACAGCCGGGACCCACAACCCAGGTGTGTATCTTAGTCTCGTCTAAGCATTGATTATATGAAGTTACTGTGTATATATAAAAACAAGACGCACTCTTAATCAACCTTGATTTGAAGCTTTCGTGACTGCAGGAATCCATACTCTTTGTTTCTTTTGGTAAAGTGACGTAGGTTTATGGATCTATTATTATCTATTATTGTTTATACCTAAGTGACTTTACCGAAAGAACCAAAGAGTAACTCTTAATACAACGTTTGCTAAAGCAATGCTTGGCATTACCATTGGCTGGTGGGTTACGGCACACAAATGCAAAGCTTTCCAGCCCCTGTTGAGCACGGATGAGCATGGTGGTGTTCAGCGCTGCCGCCGCCGCCAGGACATCGTGTGTGCTTACAGAAGCAATGTTCCAGCAGCGGTGACAAAGGTGCCCTGTGTATTAACAAAGCCGCTTTTGTGTGGCCTGCCAATTAAACTCTGTTGCATTGTGGGGGTGCTGGCGACAGGAATGATGTCTTTAACACGGAGTAGGCTTTTGTCGCTCATATTTTTGGCTCGTAATACATTTCTGGGGTTCGGCAATGCACTGGTCAGACAAAATGTGTGTGGCTAAGAACCCTCCACCACCCGACACAGCCAAACACGTTTATTGTCACGTGGTGTACAAGCGTTTAGCGTGCCAATTATTTTTGGATCGGTGAGATGTGATGACGCCCTGGTCTTGGGGCGGTGGCGGCAGAGCGGTGGGGGCGGGGTCCCATGACCTAATGGAAACAAAGAAGCTGTGGTCTTTGACTTATTCTGGGCGCCTGATGTTTGGGTTTGACCAGGTGGATGCGAGCTTTCCACTTGTTTGCGTGGAGGGAGCGGTTCAAGTTCAAGTTCATTTATTAGGTATAGCCCTGTGAGCCATTCGGCTCTTGAATCGGGTGCAACCGCAACAAACAAAAAACAAAAACATGAACAAAAAAACATCTTAAAGTGAATATGTGACTGAGTGCAAACAGAAAATCCAAGAAAAGACAGCAAATATTGCAGAAAAAAACACCGTACACCAGCGGTGATGCGATGGTCAGTGCATTATTTCTCTATGACCAGACACCAGGGTTCAATTCCCGGCCGTGACCATACCAGTGGGGAGTGATCTCTCAACCAGACTGGGGCTCCCCGTCAAAATCCCGGTGCTGACCAAGTACGGCCGTACAACCCGCATGAGTGACGCAGCAATCGTTCATTCAGTTGTGCAGCTCGCTGACAATTTTCTCTCTCGACCAAAAGGTGCAGCGGCAATCGCTTTGCTCCGCGTTGTCGCGGGGTGTTTCAGATCGCCGTGGTTCCCGAGTGCAGATCTGGTGCTGTGTAGCTCTCCATTTTCGTGCTGCACCACGTGTTGTATGGCGTTCCGCTCGAATTCCTGCAGAAGCTGCCCGCACGTGGAGCGAAAAACGTCGAACATCACACATCAGAGAGCTAGGAAGACAATGTCTTCAGACACAGAGCTAGACATCCTGACCATTGGCGTGGTTCATGAGACCAGCACAGGTGGTGTTTGTGCGTGCAAAGGGAGCGGTAGTGTCGTAGTTCATCCATTGTGCGAGGAACCCAGCAACCCAATTTAAGTTCTCACCCACGGCCAACATCGGTGATGAATACCTGAACGCGTCCTGGGCTCTCCCCTCAGTCAACTCAGGCTTACATGAGAACCTCGTGCAGTGTGTGAACATCACCAGCCACCCCCTCGTGTGCCGTGCCAGCCATAATAGGTGCTCGCTGACAGCACTTGCCCTGACAGTCTATTAAAGGGTTAAACACGGGGGCTGGGGGGTGCTGGAGTGTGTGGTGGGGGGATCTTTGTGCAGAGTGAGTCACCATGGCTGCTCCAGCAGCTGGGTGGGAATGGCGCGGGGGGGGGGTGTCTGGGGTCGTAGTGCGATGCCCGCTGGTGGACTCTGCGTGTCCTTGCAGACCGGGCTCCGTGCCATGTGGGCCACTGTCAACGGGTCGCAGCTCCGCGGGGTGATGGGCAGGTGGCCGCGAGTTTATCTCGGCCGTGTGTTTACCCGCAGGCCCGATTTGTACCACGGGTAACCCGGGTTAAGATACCGCTCCCCTGTTCACGTGTGCCCCCTGTCACACGTGCCGTGTGCACATTGAGCTAATAAGTTTCGAAAATGTTATTCCTGTTGGATAACATTTTTGAAACGTATTACGCCTCGAGCAGGTAATTCTACTCCGGCCCCTCTCTGTGCTTCTTGATCTCGACATTTCTCTGCAGTCACTGGTTGAGCAACAACGTCGATTGGAACCCAAGCCCGCTTTCCACATCCACGTTCACGTGGCCAGAGCCCTTTGTCCCATCGTGTGGCCCTGTAACCTGTTACCCTGTGTCATCCGCGCCCCCACGGCTCGACGCGCTCTCCCACTACCCTTATCCGCCTCCCCCATTGTAACCCTCATGGCAAACCCTGGGAAATTGCATCGCGCGGAAGAATCTAGGTGATGGGATCAGCGTGGTGGGCGGAAGTGGTCGTGAAGTGGAGTTTTGTCAACTTTTATTGCGACGGAGCTGAACCAGAGGGGAGGATAGGCACATATAATTACAAACTATTTGGAAGAGTGGGGCTTGGGGCAGGGTACGTCACTCGAGAAGGGATGATGGGCGATGGTCAAGAATAATAACCGAGTGTGGCAGCCAAGAAACGGAACGCATCCAACGGGACGTCTACCTCGGAGATGGACTAATTAAATCAGTCCATGTTCAGGTGCTGGACGGATTGTTGCTTCACAGGATCGTGGAAGGTGGCAGTGGCCTTCACCCAGCAGTGGATTGATCACGGCTGACGATAATTATGTCATTTTCCTGCATATGTTGTCGAATCAACGTGCACCCCTTTCCGTCTTTCAGTATAATTCTGAGCGCGTGCATCGTTCCATCCCTGCCTCTTTGCACACCTGTGAGTGTGTGTTCAGCTATCAGTGCAAGAGATGCATGCATTTGGCTTGCCACCATAACCTCTGTACGCAATGGGGGTGAACCGATAAGCTGTGCGGCGATATCTCTGACTCCAGGCCATCCGCCACAGTGGTGTGGCCCATCTCACGCAAGGTAATTTGGACGATTAAACCGCGCGTAGCTCGTGCACATCAGAGCGTAAAAGGGGCAACCCCTTTCATCTGAGAGTACTTGGGTGCAGCCGATGCCATCTTCATGCCACGACAAATGATTGTACAGCTGATTGTACCCACCATTGAGCCAGAGCAAAGTCCGAAGTCTGCTTGGGTTAAGAAATAAGCAGCTACCAAAGAGACACGGTGGTAATACTCGTGCCTCACACTAACAAGTCTCTAGGTTCGATTGCTGACTCGGGCCCCCTGTCTGTGGTGGAGGGTTTCCTCCCGGTTCTCCACTTTCCCCCATAGCTAAAAATAAACACAATGTAAGCCGTGTTGGGATTATACGAAGCGACATCGCCTCCTACTGGGAATTTTTGCTGTTGTCAGGATCCACTTGAAATGAATCTTGAGCCTCGGCGAGGTTCTTTACATAATTCCGAAAACACCACGGCACCCCTGGGACTTTGCAATGTTGCATGGCACACCGGTTGCGAGGCACTCGTACAATGCACCTGATCTCACCAAATCTCACCAAATCTCACCAGATCTCGGAAGCTAAAGCAGGTCGATGGCTCTCCCATGTGTTTTAAGGCTGCGCCCCACCGTGTGCGGTTGAGCATATATCGGTTACCGAAAAATGCAGTTCCTAAATAAACTCCTTGCACACGGAGCAAAACCCCTTGACGGCGTGCCGACCAACGCGCGGTGCAACCCGAAACACATCGGGAGAGCCGTGCAGGACAACCGCAAAATCGTGCGCGGTCGTGTGAGCAGGGCTGAGCCCGAATAGTGCTTGGATGGGCGCCAACCAATACATAAAATAGGTGTTGCCTGCTGCTGCTTGCTGCTTATGCTGGGCTATGTTGCTAGCACATGGCAGAGCAGCACAATCATTGTTGTACTGTACCATATTTCTATGTCTTCCCTTCCCCGCTTTCTCACCGACCCGCATCGCCCAGTGTGGTGAAGTAGGATCATAGAGCCCGCTCAAACCCGCACAACTGTTGGAGTGTTCTCGTCCTGCAGTGGATTGAGTATAGTGCTGTGTGCGCGTGCACACCTATCCGTGCACGCCGTTTCTGTGTGAAACGGCTGAATATCACATTTCTGATTCGCTTCGTGGCTACTCCCACCTCGTCCTGGACAGTGTGGAAGAGCAGGCAAAAATTACCCACGAGTGGAGGTCCTTCCACCAGCAATGGCACGAGCAGCAGTTGCAGGGCTGCCGCTCTGTCCACGTAACTCCCCTTATCTGCACTGCGATGGGTTCATGCTATTCGAGTGTTGTTCAATACCTCCGAAGGATATGGTGATTATTAAAGATGGGAACAGTATGTACAACCACAAGGTTGCTTTTAAAGGTGCGGTTTGCTAGGGCTGATCACGTAACCTTGACAAACCAGTTGAGAGTAAATTTCAGCTTACTCCTCAGGTAAAGCAAGAGACACACTCACTGCGCAGATCGTCGCTGGTCGTTCGCAGCCGGCGGTTATTTGTAAGTCTTAACGATAATAACACCGATTAAAATTAATATCAACGTGCTGCATTATACTCGATGAAGCGATATGATGTAATGTCAAAGTCATCGTTTTGAAGTAGACACCGTTAAACTAGTGTGGGTTAAGCATGTGCAGTATATCCAAGCAAAATGACAAGCAACCCCCAGGGCTAACACAGCTAGGGAGGCATTCATCCAGCAGTGGATTTCCGGAGAGCTCAAAAACAGTGCCGGCAAGCGATGCCAAGTAGTTGCGACAAGAACAGCTCTCTGATTATGCAAGAACGGGAACTTTTGCCCCGCCTTTTGAGCAACCTTTGCCCAATTCCACGTAGGCTCCGAGAAGCCTTATTATTATATTATTATTAACGCGAAGGGCGCGTTCACGAAGTAATCGTTGCTCGCAATTATTTTCTCATGTCGGTCATTTTCATCAGAATGTCGTCCCACCCCGGAGCACCGACTCCCATGGAGAACGGAGTGGACCCCGCGGGGGTTACGCCCAACACGCGGGACGGGGAGACGGAGGTTCTGGGCGAAGCGGAGGACTGCAGGAACCCCACGGAGGTGGAAATGACCCAGCTGGTCATGCCGTGTCACGCCAACCACCTCGGGGAACTGAGCACGGGTCAGATGCTCAAGTGGATGGACGTCACTGCCTGTCTATCTGGTGAGCAGTTTCACTTTTCTTGTCGCTGGACTGTCTTATCGCGACCACCATCCTGTCGCGACTCTTCCCGTGAACTTCACGCATCGATTCCTCCACCCGTGTGGAGGACTCGGTCTGCCAGACACTGTTTTGTCTCATCGACAACGTGTTCACCCGCCCACTCACTCACAACAACACTCACTCCTATACTCACTCATCCACTCACCGCCCACTCGCCATGCTGCAGGTCACAACAACACTCACTCCCATACTCACCCATCCACTCGCCCGCCCACTCACCATGCTGCAGGTCACAACAACAATCACTCTTATACTCACTCGTCCACTCACCCGCCCACTCACTCACCATACTGCAGGTCACAACAACACTCACTCCTATACTCACTCATCCACTCACCCGCCCACTCACTCACCATGCTGCAAGTCACAACAACACTCACTCCTATACTCACTCATCCACTCACCCGCCCACTCACTCACCATGCTGCAGGTCACAACAACACTAACTCCTATACTCACTCATCCACTCACCCGCCCACTCACTCACCATGCTGCAGGTCACAACAACACTCACTCCTATACTCACTCATCCACTCACCCGCCCACTCACTCACCATGCTGCAGGTCACAACAACACTCACTCCTAGACTCACTCATCCACTCACCCGCCCACTCACTCACAACAACACTCACTCCTATACTCACCCATCCACTCACCCGCCCACTCACTCACCGTGCTGCAGGTCACAACAACACTCACTTCGATACTCACCCATCCACTCACCCGCCCACTCACTCACAAACACTCACTCCTATACTCACTCATCCACTCACCCCCCACTCACTCACCATGCTGCAGGTCACAACAACACTCACTCCTATACTCACCCATCCACTCCACTGCCCACTCACTCACCATACAGCAGGTCACAACAACACTCACTCCTATACTCACCCATCCACTCACCCGCCCACTCACTCACCATACTGCAGGTCACAACAACACTCACTCCTATACTCACTCATCCACTCACCCCCCACTCACTCACCATACTGCAGGTCACAACAACACTCACTGTCGTACTCACCCATCCACTCACCCGCCCACTCACCATGCTGTCGGTCACGACAACGCTCGCCGCACTGCAAGGCCCAACACCTCTCTGTTGACTTCTGCCCTCGCGCTGTTCTGCTTGGGAATTCTCTCCCATTGTCTCTTATCCTAAAGTTGTAATCCTGCTCAATTCAAGAAAAGAGTTGACTCAGCACCTCCCGTGGTGCTGTTTGCTCCCGGCCTGTGCTCAGCGACCGTAATGTAAATAAACAAAGCCACCACTGGACAGTTGAACAACCCCGATGTGTACCGTGCACGATATGCCTCTTTACTTGCGGAGTCACACGGTGTTGCCACAGTGAAGTTGGACACAGGTGGCGGCTGTTCAAGTTTCAAGTTTATTTATTAGGTACAGCCCTGTGAGCCATTCGGCTCTTGAATCGGGTGCAACCGCAACAAACAAAAAACTAAAACATGAACAAGAATACATCTTAAAGTGACTATGTGCAAACAGAAAATCCAAGTAAAGACAGCAAAATATCGCAGAAAAAGCACAATACACCAACACTGTGTGCAAAAATCCCAGTGGGATGCAAGTCAAACAACAACAACCACAAGACAACTTAGATTAAGGCCATCAGTCTAACTCTGTACTACAACAAACAAACATGGCCAAACCAAAAAACTTTTCGAAAATCACCAAAATAAAGCCATAAAGCAATGAAACAGTGGTCATAGGAACTGTGACCGAATTTTCACAATAAACGACGTAAACAACATGTACTACCAAACTCTGCAAAACTGTTCACGATTGCAGAGGAAGCCCCCTCCCCTCTGTCGCACGTTCACTTATCCGTGCGCCTGTCTGTGGCTTTGCGGTTCTGCAGCGGAGAGGCATGCAGGCCTGCTGTGCGTAACGGCCTCCATGGACGACTTTCAAGTAGAGGAAGCCATAAAGTAGGTGTCCTCTATACTCCACGCCTTACATGTGTTTAGTCAAACACGTGTTCGCCTAGAACAAGCCTCCGTGGAATGTCAGGACTGTATCGTGGCGTTCTTTGGCGGTATTTGTGTTGTGTTTACGCTTGGGAGGGAGAGCATGCGCGGATGACGCACAAGAGTCGGTCGCGGCATCGCCACCGTATGTTGCCGCAGTGTGTTCACAAAAGTTACGAATCGCGTGTCTTCATTAATTCACGGTTTTGCACCTTGTAGGAATATTAACCGGGCAGGGGGAGCAGTGAAGCACGGGTTAGTTTCATTCCTGCTCACGGTAGTTGCGAGTTGGATCCAAACTCATCCCTCATTAACCAACACTAACCAGTGTGAAGTATGGTAAAAAGAACCCTCACGACTGATATAACACGGAACGCCTAATTGTGATTGTGGATTGACAATGGATTGTAAATTACATATGAAGAAAAATTTGTAAATTTTTACTTTTTTGTTGTTGAATGCCTTTGATTTTTGTATTTGTATCTTGACTAATTGAATATTAGGCATGCGGTTCACAATAAAATATTTATTTTGGAAAATTTTCGTATTTTTTGTACATTTATGGACAATTTTGGATATTTTTCAGATATCCCAGAGATTTGTATTTTACTGTAACTGGCAATGGCCCAAACATCCCAATGCTGAGAATGTGCCTGCAAATTACTCAACTTGGGATCATACAAAGTGACATTGCCCCCTACTGCAGACATGTCCAGGACCCTCCAGAAAATGAGTCTTGGGCAAAGTATAAATAAGTAAAGTCTGTGGAAAACATTATATATAATGTGTATTATGTATAATGTATTATAACCATACTGTATAATGTGTTCCACGGTTGTGCAATTGTATAGTTTACAAAGTAACATGGCACCGGTCGGCTTCCACTCCGCCAGTTTTCAGGCGTGAGGCCAACCGTGATTGAACCCAGGGCCGGCGCTAGGGGCGGTGCTGGGGTGGCACTGAAGCCACCAAAACGGCACTGGCGGCCCTGGGGGTGAATTACTGCCACGGTGGCTCCCCCACACGACCTCTCGACTGCCTTCCCCCCCTCCCCCGCTATCCTAGAGGAGCTGGAGCTCAGCCTGATTAAACGGTCTCATCATGGAAGTAGATGAAACAAAAAATAATTATAATTATCACTGTACTAAATGTCAACTTGAAACCAGTTTGACAAGGAGGACATGGTGTTTTGCCATTGCAGGGTTGGCCAGGCGGTGTACATCAAGGCCCAGGTGAACCGGGCGTTTAACACCAGCATGGAGGTGGGTTGAGTGAGACGCACGCTGGCCCCGTCCCGCTCGGTGTGAAACGTGGGCAAAGCGGCAGAGGGAAGTCAAAATTATAATAATAACAACGCTCATGTCAGGAAATTGAGCAATCGGGCTCGTCAAAAAGCATTGAAAGATGTGAACAAAGCAAAAACCAGTTGAACGTTACCACGTTAGCAGCGGAGACGCATGTAACCCGTTATATTCGTACACTTATGTTTGCATCCTTTGCTTAATAGACACTACGCGATGGCGTGCTAGCTCTCCGATGTGTTTTCCGCGTGCTATTCGGCACGAGAGCTCTCAGCGCATGGAGCGAAACGTCGGATATTGTGCTGAACAACACACGGCGCAACCCGAGAACATATCGGAGAGCTGTGTAGCACAACCGTGAAAACCTACGCAGCAGTATTGCCATGACGCACTCTCACGACGTGTTATAGTGGCGTACTATTAAACATGATCTTCAGCATCCTCGCAGAACCAATCAGACCATCTTAGTACAGCATTGTCTGAAAACCTGAAGTGGAATACTTGGAGAATGGTAATTTTTACAGTTGTTTTGTATATATGTTTATCATCTCACGCATTGCGACTAATGTACTGATTGGTGTTGTTGTTTGCAGGTGGGGATTGATGTTCGCGTTGAGGATCTGTCAACCGGCAACCAGAAGCTGGTGTGCATGGCCCACTCGACGTTCGTGGCTCGATCGCTGAGCGGCGAGAAGGTAAAACCTCTTGACACACCGCCCCTGCGATGCTTTGTGGATTACAGAACCAACCCTGTTTTACATTGTCGCGGCGACGGCGACGCACACGCTGACGCCATCGACGCGGGGCGCGCTTTGTGCGCGGGCAGGTGCAGCTGCAGGCGCTGATACCGCGCACGAGCGAGGAGAGCCTGCAGCACACACTGGCGGCGGAGCGGCGCCGCATGCGCCTGGCCCACGCCGACACCATCCTCGAGCTGGTGCACAGCTGCCCCTTCCAGGACGGTGAGGCCCCCCCGCCCCGCACTCGTACTGTCCGCCGCTCAGACGGGCTCGGGCCTCTCCCGCGTGGCTGTGCATACTCGGGAGTTTGTCGGGGAATTGGACGGCAGAACACGCACCACGGCACTCGGCTCACGACGATGGTGTTGTTGTTGATGACGTGGGCCCCGCCGCCCTCTGCTGCGAAGTTGCCACTCTGCGGCCCATTGCGTACGGGAGTCCTCTACGCGATGCTCTAAGCGATCCTCCACCCCTTGCTTCCAGGGCGCTGGGGACTAAAGCACCACCATGCCCTGGCTCGCTTCGATGATGATGATGATGACGGTGGTATACCAACCTTTTCCGCCGTGTGTGAAGTGACACTGGGCCGAACGTCGACTACGGGAAGGAGCTGGTGCCCGCGGCGCGTACGCGGGTGCACAGCGTGGAGCTAGTGCTGCCCCTCACGCCAACCACCAGGGCAACACCTTCGGCGGGCAAATCATGGCGTGGATGGAAGCCGTCGCCACCATCTCCGCCAGGTGAGGCTGCCCCCTTGAGGTCGGATGCACAAAGTCATACGCACCCTGAACCTTGTGGTCAATTTGAAAATACAATTCTTGTTATGCGTGCAAACAAAGAGAGACTCAAGGCCGGTGAGGGATTTCCTTGTTTTAATTGCAGACAAACTTGAGATGTTTACACATCAGCTATTTGGAAATCTGAATAATATGTGTTTCAGTAGTATTTGTTGTTGTTGTTTGTGTGTGTGTGTGTCGAAATATATATGTATTAAAAGGGAACAGAACAAAACAATAAACAGGGAGTTGTGTGTCCTCTTTTATTTAGAAATTAGAAAAGTAAACAGAAAGTGGTGGTCTCATCTGGCCGTGGTTAAGCTGGGTTCTGCAGTGCGGCGAGCTGTCACTCTCGGTCCAGTCAACAAGGATGGCACAATAACATCGTCGTGGTAAATTTGGCTTATCACGGCCGTTAACCTTGTCCACGCAATCGGTGGCAAAAATATTCGTCAATGAAGGGATTTACATTCATTTTTTTATATTAGTCAGCGATGAGTGGGAGTGGATTAGAGTCATCAGGAGTGTGACGATGATTAGGACTCTGCCGACCAAATACCAAATCACGGCTGACTCTGACGAGCTGAAATTAAGTTGAATGAAGACACAGACTAAGGTGATTTCGGGCCTGACTTTGATTCTCGGATCGTGTGCCTCTGTGTGTAGACTGTGCATGTTCTCCCCTAAGTACTGCGGCGGTTTCCTTCGGGTCTGACGGTTTCCTCCCATAGTTGGAATAAGAAAAAAAAAGTTTAACACGTAGGAGGCTTTCGCCACCAATATCATCCAGAATAGAGGTGTTTTGGGTTAGATCGCGTAAATATATAAAAGAGTCGTTAAACCCGCCATCACCCAACACAGCCAACCAGTAAGGTTTGTCACGTAAAACAGAACGTGCCAATTCGTTACTAGTACAGCACACCGGTGTGTTGGAGAGAAAAGCCACAACATTTACAATATTTAAGTGACCTAACCCAAAAAAACCCTCTATTATGTAAGAAAATAGAAACATCCGATATAAGCCAAAACATCAAAATTCTAAAAAATTACTCAATTGGGATCACACGGCAGCAGCAGTAGCAGAACCCTCTTGAAAACAATTCCAAGACTCGGTGAGGCTTCTCTGAGTAAACAAGTGTAGTAGTAATATGTATGTACGTATGTTTAACTTTTCACCGTATGTAGCCAACCGTGCTATCGAAGGTTCTTGGAAGGACAACAAACTAAACACAAAAAGCAGTTCTAAAGAAAAGAGTTTTCAATCTAGATGATTTAAACGCGCATAGCTCCAGTGGCTTCCTAATATCGGAAGGAAGAGCTTTCCAGTTGTTGCAGAAGCGCATCCGAAAGCGCGCGATGCTGTGACAGTCATTGTTCGATGGCCAGCCAATATCCGCTGCGGTGAGGATGACCGGAGTTCGCGTGATGATTTATGCTCCTTAAACTCGACTACACGTCGCCAATGGCACGATTGGGGGTAACGGATGCAGCGACGTGTGGTTTGCATGCCGAGCGGCGGCCGCCGGCGCGAGGATGACACTCTGCTCGCCCCGCTTGTGCAGCCGCCTGTGCCGCGCCCACGCCACCCTCCGGGACATCGACATGTTCCAGTTCCGTGGGCCGTCGCAGGTCGGCGATCGCCTCACCCTCAAGTCCATCGTCAACAACGCCTTCCGCAAGAGGTAAGCGCATGGCGCGCGCGAATCATACGCTAACGCCGATGAAATACGTCCACCGAGGAGATGGAGCGGCGGACTCGGTTTGTGCGTGGGTGCTGGGTGGATTAATGCGTCGCAGGATCGTGAGAGGTGACGACGACGGGTTGGGTGTCCCTTCATCCAGCAGCGGATTGATCATGGAACGATGATGATGAATACAACGTTATTTGCGAAGTCGCATTTTCATTCTATTTAATCAAGAATTCTCTTGTGCGGGGTGTGACCCGGTGTGATGTTGCGGCCTGTTACCGGTGTGGTGTCTAGGCAGTGTGGGGATGCAACGCGGTGTACTGTGTTGTTGCAGCATGGAGGTGGGGGTCTGTGTGGAGGCGTACCGCCAGGGAGACTGCAGCCCCGCGTCTCTACGCCACATCAACAGCGCATTCATGACGTTCGTCGTGCTGGACGACAACGGCGATGCGCGCACGCTGCCACGCATCAAGCCCTACGCCGGGGTACGATCGCTCTTGCACTGCGTTTTTATAAAAAATAAATCGTGTTTTCCGTACGGTGCGAAAGAAGTGCAACATACATAATGAATCAGCCACTTGGAACTGAACTTTGCCATCCCAGGAATGGCCCAGGGCCTGGGTCAGTTCAGGGCAATGTTACAAAAGAAAAAATAGTTTTGAACAAAGTTAAGCAAAGGCCTAGACTATGTTAGCATAGTTGAGGTGTTTTTAACACAAACGTGGCCAAGAAGTAAAACGATGCGAGTGACGTCGCGACGCTGCGCGACTCACCTGGGGAGGGCCGTCGTGGAGGCCCATGTCCAGCAGAGGATTGAACAAGGGCTGTGCATGCGCACGTACAAACAGGAAGGTGACGTTTGCTGCTCTCTGATGAATTGATGTGGTCCCACCTCGCAGGACGGTGAGCGGCGCTACAGAGAAGCCATCGCCCGCAAGAAGATTCGTCTTGACAGGTACGAGCTCTCCGGCCAGTCGATTGACATCAACTACATCATCAACTCTTTCGACATCCACGTGCACAAGTCCGCTGTGGAGGAGGTGGTTAGGCGGCTGAGAGGCCTGATTCTGCGTCAGAGCACCGAAGAGGCACTGCTGAGGTCCTGGTTTAGAATCCAGGGCAGCCGGTCGTGAAAAAAAAAAGACGTTCTCCCCCATGTAGAGAGTTCTATGGTCTTGACTGTAAAACAAATTGTGATGTTGAGTTTGGTTTTATGAACATTTTCGGTGGTGTTGTGCCACGATTGTCCTGCACTGACGCTTTACTCTTCTTACATCTATTTTTTTTTACTTAGTCCTCTGTGCCAGATAAGGATAACTATCAAGATACCTTTTATACCTGTAGAAATTATTTATCCAATTTTTTATGTAAAAATATTTTTTTTCCATTATTTTATTTGTTTCATTAAGAAAAATAGCCCCACCGCCTGATAACAAACTACGCACGGGCGCCATTTAGCGATGGCGGACAGAGCCCTGGGAAAATTGGCCGGGCTGAACTCTCAAGCTTCACCCCCACACAAGTGTCGCCTCCCGGAGGGTTCAGCAGCAAACACCTCCATCCATCTTCCATTCAGGACACCCGGGGAACTCCGAGCACCAAATCCATTATCCGACTATTCTCAGCGGAAAGGTCGCCCGGCTCCTTGCAAATCGGCTGAATGCTTTCGAAATCCTCGCCTCATACATCTATTGTTCAACTCGCTTGAACAAAGTAAGGCAAGGTCGAGGGAAGGGCCTTCGTGTCCACGCACTTCTCTCTCCCGGACACTGGGACCTCGCTAGGACAGATGGAATCAAATCCCAGCGATTACCAGTAGGAGATGGGTGTCTGGAATTCCCTCTCCCGAGGAAACGATGGATAATAAGGAGAAGAAAAATATCCTCTAAGGTCAACGAGGTCATCTGGGGATACCACGAAGAGAGGGAAGCTGGGAAAGAGAGGAAACTAAGCAGACGGAGAAATAAACGCACCATAGCAGCTCGCCACCAGACGGCGCCACTTGCGTTTTTCCGAGAGAAACGTTGATGATAGAGCACTGCAGCTTTCTAAACCTCATCGTCGTCGTCACGGCACTCACTTCCCGGGCTCGTGGCCCGGCTCGTAGAGGGCTCCGCCACGCGCCACACATCCCTCGCTCCCCCTGCAGCTGTGGACCCCTCGATGCCGATGCCGTCCTCCTGTCCACGTCACGTCTCGGACACCCGGACACGGGAGAGCTCATGTTGAGAAAGAAATCGCTGCGAGACAAAGGGCACTTCCGGCGCCGAGCCTGTCCGGCTCGAGAGAGGAAGGAGAGAGAGAGGGCATCAAACAGAGCGAGCTAAACCCCGGCTGCAGATCCCAGCCGGGGAGAGGGCTCGCGCAGAACTCCTTCCCGAGTCGACTCGACGGGAGGACGTCCTCACAGGACGGCACGCTACGAGCAGTGCTCCCCTCAGAACCTCACACACCACGACTCTCAACCCCAGACACCACCAAAACGCTCCTCACCAAATATACCATCACCTGACCCCCACTTTAACCCCCCTTCCCACCACCATGACCCAACCTCTATAGACCCATCCCCAAAGATACTCCACCAGCAACCCAATGCGAACCGCCGCCCCTAACGATCACCAGACCCCCCCGATTCCAATCCCACCAATCGCTTCGCTCCTGTATCAGAGGTTGTCTGGCAACTTCTACTAATTATCAACGACACTCAACTCCCATAATTATACATATTTATTATTAATTCTAATGGTACATTTTGTTCCCGCGGCAAACGCCACACCTACGCCACATCCTTTTATGAGAAAGCCACTACAGCTATGCACTTTTCAATCTTTAGAACTGTTTTTATCTTTAGTTTGTTGTCCTTCCCCACCTCCGATTACTTCGGTTCAACGTACACACCCACGTGGACATGACGCAGAGAATGTCAAGAGTAGAATTGTGTTACGTTTGTTGTGAGTTTGTCCTGTTACGGTGATCATTATTTACCTTCATCACTCAATGAAAGATATATTTACGTAATATAATGTTCATCTTATTTGTTGGAAATACGTACCTTAAGCACCACTTTCGCAAATATGTATAAATTAGAAATGCAGTGAACAGCAATGAAAGAAACCTTACTTATCGTACCGCAGCACTGTTAAATCGGGTATCTAACCAGGCCCCACCAAGACAATTGCGGGAGATTAAAATATATTATAATTTATTATATTAAAATATTGTATGGAACAAACTCATGAGGCCTGTAGACTACTGCAACTGCAACTCCCTTTTTGACCACGCAATGGGATGGAATTTGGACACATGTATTGTGGCATTAGTGCAGCACCACTTGGCCTTTATAACAATTCTCCTACATGGATCCTATCTGCCTCACGGCAAAAAATGGTGAAATATGACCCTAATACATCCCCGTTTTGTGCAGGATGCCCGATATGATCCGAAAATTGGACTCCTAAATAATTACACTCTTAAATATAATTAACCCTACCACACTTTCACCTTCCAAGCAAGCTTGCCAGGCCTCAGACAACAGGGACTATCTTGGTATAAATTTAAACTATATTTTACACCATTGCCCAGAATATTTTTGTTACACCATTGGAATCTCCACGACCCCCTCCTCAAAAACCCCTCCAGGTCAATCCCCTTTGCCACCTTGCTATGCCAGAACACCTTGGCAACAAAATCAGAATCGAGATTATCAACAAATCACATTTTATTCTAAACATCCCCAATTTATTTTAAGCGTCCCAAACCACCCAACCCGAACTGTGTAACTTACACGAGCAGGATAACTGCTCACCAAATAAATATCCGTAAAAAAAATACGTGGATATAAAAGTACTTTTTTTCCACATCCCATCCAGCCACGTGTCTTCTGGCAGTGCATCATCTCAATAGCCTTGGTTCAACACAAGCTAACTGTGGACTGGTTTCGACATCCATTGTCTCATCAGCAGTCAGAATAACTGGGATTGGGATGTGTTCAGATCCTCATATCTTCCCCCCATATAAGTATACAAGTGAACCTTATGGCGGTAAAATTTTGACTTATGGCGGTACCCCAGGGTACCATAGTATCCCCGGCTCTCGCATAATGTCCGTGATGCAGTCATTTTTCGTCTGTTGATGGTCGGCGATGCGGCAATTGACTCATCTCGATGAGCTGTACACGATGCACTGTGGTGCGTACTGCGAGCGTTTAGGGTTTCAGCGCAATCGTCCTCGCTGCATTTCGACATCGCAGAGTAGCACTGATTCGGATTGATTGGTACCCCAGTCGCGGAGTTAAGTACACCCTTGGAAAAAATAGTGTCCCAGAAATACAATATTTAATTGCCTCGGCCATTTTGTATTATTCGGTACCCCGGAGTACCGCCATTAGGACACTGTAAACATGTATTGAAGGATATCGCTTTGAACGTATGCACTTTAAAAATCTGCAATGTACACTGTTGTTTAATCATAACGTATTTATTGCCGTGTCATTTTATTATTGAAATAAAGAAAGTACTACCTTTGGTTTTGCACTTAACTTGGCTAAATTCCAGCTCTCGGCATGAACAATGTCAGCTTGTCTCAGACAACCAGCGGGAAGTACCCGCGTCGACCCGGGTCTTAAAAATATTTCAAAACTACTCTTAAAAATCTAACAGCAGTGCGTACTGACTGTGGTGGTACCTGCTATGATTACAGCAGTGCATACTGTGGTGATACCTGCTTTCACTGCAGCAGTGCATACTGTGGTGGTACCTGCTATGATTACAGCAGTGCATACCGACTGTGGTGGCACCTGCTATGATTACAGCAGTGCATACTGACTGTGGTGGTACCTGCTATCACTACAGTAGTACGTGCTGACTCTATAGCAGTATTTATCGACTCTATAGCACAAAATACTCCCCTGACAGAGTGTCGTGGTGAGGCCTAGTCCTGTGCAGAGCCTCCGGCCTTGCCTCGATTGTCCAGCCGGCCGAGGTGGCACCTTGGCAAGCTGGGGCTGGGCTGCTACCCCTGACCCACCCCCCCAGCCACGATCTCCCCGATCGCTCTGCAGTAATTTCTACGGCCTATAGTGGTAGCATCTAGCGACTGTATATAGTAGTAACTGCGTGCATCGGGGTGGGGGGGACATCACACAGTGAAGATTTAAGCTCAGCGTTTAGTGTATTTCTATACCATTTTTTACGCGAAAGAAAATGTCCCCCTCACTCCACTGAAGGTGTGCGACTTGGCATGGGCCGCCCCCCCACCAAAGGCTCGTGAGTTGGTATGGCCGGGTATACGTCATAAATAAATAGATAAGCGCACAAAAATTGCACTAAATCGCTAATTAAACAATTTAAAGTTGACGGAAGTGAAAAAGGAATAGCGGAATAGCGCTTGCTCACCGCGGGGCGTACGGTTTTGTACCTGGATATTTTTCTTTACATAAACCCCACCGTTGGAGAGGCAAATCGTTCGCAAGCACGCGAACAGACACAAACCCACAAACAAAGCCACAAACAGACAATTTTTTACTTTAATATATATAGATTAAAATGTGTGGCAAAAGCTCTGTTACCTGGCATCCATGGGGAATGGACGGTGCCGGTTAATCTGAGAGTTACACTCTTGGTGCACCAAATTATCCAAGAACATGAAACGTTTCAAGAAAAAAAAAATATTCTTTTACAGAGTACTCACCGGTCAATTGTAGAACATTCTAAGTTTATTGTAGAAAAGCGGAGCTTTTGCTGCATATCACTGTCATGCAACAGCCATCTCTTTAGCTGGTGACATGACGGAGTGTGGGCATTTTAAGCGCTCTCGGTTGTAGTTCTGTGATATCATCTTCCAGAGGATTATCTAGCGTGGAGTAAAAAATAATAATGCTGTTGTGAAGCATTTAAGTTACTATGAGCTATATCTCATAATAATATACATTTTAGTATTATGCATAACAAATAGACTTCTGTCCATATAAAAGTTATATTTTATTCATTAGAGCATTACTTAAATTTGCTGACAGTCCAAAAAAATCAATGAATGTTTAGATGTGGCACCACCGTACATTATTCAGTGATCGTTCTGTGGATTATCCCCCCCCCCCGCATCTCGGCCATGAATTTTACAAACAATTACCATAACAAAATCTTAGCCTTATCTATCGATATATGAAGATGTTTTTACATACATTTGGTTGACTGAGATGGGAAGGAACTTAAGTTGCAGTGTTTCCACGCTGCGCTGTGGATTCCTGTGCAGTGCCAATGAGTTTTAGGCCCCTTGGCAAAAGTGCCTTTTGGCACGGCTCCTAAATATGGAGCACTTCGTGTGGTTAAAAATAACTTGCTGATGGCACATCACCCACGTATATTCTGTCACAAGGGTGGATCTACGTGACTCTGTCCTGTAATTGAGCCGGGGCAGCAGTTATTCCACCTCGTGGCGTGTGGAGGGCGGTACGACGCAGCAAGTGTTAAGTTGTTAAAGGACGCTGAACGCTAAACAGAATGAGTAGCGATACGATCCGCCTTTCTCCCTCGTGCATTCTGCTGTCTCACCCCCTGGTGTAAACGAGGAAAGGCTGCGACACCCATCGCGTAATTGTACACTAATAAAGTAGACCACTGATACAAAAGAGATGCCGATTCTCAATGGGTTCTGTCTTGAGTAAATATTAGAGACGTCTCAATGAGTTGTAATTGTCCCATTTGAATGTGCCCTTCGTAGGAAGTACATCTTGTCGTGCAAGCAGAACGAAGTGCCGCTGTCTGTTCCCTGGGACCCCAGCAACCAGGTACACACCCCATACCGTTCAAGTCATGTAGAAGGGAAATAATAAAATAATAAAAATAAAACATGATAAAATAAAATTCTCAAGACGTTTCGGCCACAACGCAAGCGGCCGTCCTCAGGTGAAGAAACAGCTGAGGAAGAAACACATGAGGGCGGCTGCTTGCATTGTGGCCGAAACGTCGTGAGAATTTTATTTTATTGTTTTATTTTTTTGTTTTATTATTTCCCTTCCACGTGACTTTACCAAAAGAACCAAGAATATGAATCTCTGCAGTCACTAGTATTCAGAAAAATAACTCAACACTTCGTCAATAACACTGTGGCATTAAAATAAAACATGTATGTTAGGCGACTATTCGGGAAATGTTCTTTCTGCGTAGCGTATTATGAGTAATTTTACCAGGTAAGGCCCACTCAGCTGTAGAACTCTTTTTCAGAAGTGACCTGGCCACAAATGGTAACTCAACGAAGTGGCTTATCACGTGGGAATTTATAGCAGCCAAATGTTCTAAAAATCCACGCGGCCACGGAGAGAACATGCAAACTCCAAATGTACAGGCGTCAGGGTCGGAATTGAACCCATGACCTCCTGTATACCAGGTGAGGGAAATAACATCTCGCCACCGCAGTTTCCCCATTACACAATGTGTAATGTAAATTATTTTCCGTCCTTTGTAAAGCCACTACTGGATGAAGGCCTCCTCATGCCATTCCAATTAAAGGGTGGTTATTTGACCCAAGGGGATGAGAGGGGGGGGGGATTGTTTGACCACTCTTCACCACGCTGGTCAGTGTGAGTTGGTGAAGTTAGCAATGGCTGGGATTCCCAGGACAAGGTGCAGCCTCGCTATTTCACCACGGTACCGTTCCACCGCAAACACAAGGTGTGGTTTATTATTTAACTTCAGGTCTTTCCGAGGTCAGCATGCCCTATAACAAGTGCCAGGTACATTGTGTTAAACAAGCAATGGGGAGACGTATCACCGGACAGATTGTGCTGTCCAAGCTGTCACGACACTTGCCCCACATAGGCTGTGCGGTTAAACAGAGGATCTTTATCTCTGCTCTTCATGTTCTTTTCAGAATGTTCTGGATTGGATTTAAACGGGCGGACTTGATCTTGACTGGATTCCACGGGCAGGCACAACTCATGGGGCATAATGGCCACATCACCCCTCCTGTGCGCGGGGGTAACAGTGGTGGGCACGTATTCGTCCGCTCCTTATGCAGTTCCAGCGAACTCGGTTTGAAGTCGAGGAGCTCAGGGAGTGGCTCTTACCTTCTGAAAGTGGCCGGTTCCAATCCTTTTTTTGTCCGATAAATAAAACTTTGTCCGAGTTGGCGGTTGTGGGTTTTGTTACTGTATGCGAAAAAAAAAACCGGTTTCCTTGATGTGTTCTGGATGTACTGAGTAATGTAAGCTTCTGTGTGTGCGCGCGTGTGTGTGTGTGTATGCGTTCACACATAGGTCTACTTGAGCTTCAACAACGTCTTGGCTCTGACGCTATTGGCCAGCCGAGGGGCATGGGAGCTCGTTTCCGTCCAGAATGGGGTAAGGTGCTCGTTTCGGATTTTTCGTCCTAAACACAAAGTAGTCATGGCTGATATATCGTGCCACGGCCGCTCATTCCACATCACACGCACCGAGGGCAACCCCTTCTATTGAACCACACGGATTGTTGCATCTGGTGAGTGAGCGTCTGGTGAGTGCGTGGTGCGTGGCCACCGGTGAGCAGCGAGTATCTGTGTCTGGTGGGTGAGCGGCGAGTGACGGCTTGTGTGACTTCTCACACGCTGTGCTGCGGCTCTGCCGTGACGGTGCAGATCAAGCTGTACAGCTGCGAGGAGGGCGGCCTGCTGTCGTTCCGTATCGAGATGCGTGCCTGCGTCTCTGCTGAGCAGGCCTTCCTCCTGCTCTCTGATCTGCAGCACCGCGCCGCCTGGGACAAGCACTACCAGTGAGCCCCACGCATGCATAGAGACAAAGAACCCCGTGCAGCCTTAACAGACTGTCGGGGCAAGTGCTGTGAGCACGATGACAGCAAGGTGCACGAGGGGGTGGTCTGGCGAGCACCGCGCCCAACCAAATGTATTTCCCCATTGGCAATGTTTACACACGCCGTGCCAGGCACTCACTTAAGGCTAAGTCGACCTAGAGGAGGCCCAGGACCCGTTCAGATATATTCGTCACCATGTTGGCCGTGAGTGGGAATTGAACTCGGGTCACCGGGTTCGTAGCGCAGTGCGCTAACCATTCCGCCACCGCATCCCCGTGCATGCACGCTTAGAGAGATAAATGTATATTCTGAATCGAGTGCTGGAGAAAATTCCGTGCCCGAGAATCGACATCTAAATCTAAAACTGTTCGCGTTACAAACATGCGCGCGCGCGTCTATTAGTAACAATCGTTTGCGTCCGTTGTACAGGAAATGCAGTCTGATCCAGGCGGCGGATGAAGATGATGCCATCTACAGCGTGGAGAGTCTGGCCATCCGCAAGGGCCTCAGGCCTCAGGACTTCGTGGTGCTCATGTCACGCCGCCAGCCCTGCCAGACCAGGTTAGCAACGTCGCCGTCGTCGTTGTCTGCGATGCAGCGAAATACAAATCCTAATAACAGTGTTAGCTCGTTAGCTCAGTGTGTCAGCGCGGTGGTCAGTGCAGTTGTTATCGGCGGCGTTCTACGACCTCGGTTCGGAATTCCCAAGCCACGGCTACCATCCGTGGCGACTGATATTTGAACCCTCACAGCCAGCACTGTCCAGCATGGTGAAGAATGTTTCAAAGAGCCCAACATGACCGATTGGGCATTGGGAGGCCTTCATCCAACAGTCGATTCATCATGGCTTTTTCTTATTCTTCTCTAATTGTTCTGCTTCATGGCAGGCCTTTGGCCCAAACTCCCTCCATCCTTTTATATGGTCTTGTTTGTATTCTTGTTTTTTTTGTTTTGTTCCATTAGCTGAAGTAAAGATAACTTATTAAAATTACGTACCATCTGTATAAATGGTAATTATTCTTCCGTATGTATTTTGATACGTGTGCTATTATGGTAGGTCGATTTTATTATAATTATCATCAATAATTGTAATGGTCACGTGCCAATAAACAACAGCAGTATCACACACTCAAAACATCTTGAGTCCTCATCATCATTAGACCCTTTTGGCGTCCTCTGGTCTAGCACCAATTGGGTCGAGGTTCAAGAGAAAGCCGTCCCTGGTGTGGACCAATCAGATTCAAGGACAATGCCAATATATTATCATAGTGTGTTTTTGTTTGCATTTTGACCACAAGTATTGTGGTTAATGCACACATGATTCCTTGGAAAAGGTTTCAGTTTTGTTGCCAGAAAAAAGGGGAAAACCCTGGCATCGCCGTGTGGGACTGAAAAGCGCCCATTTGTGGCTCATCCTGGCCACAATTCGCACAGCTGTGATCAGAATGTACAAACTGCAGCGTGGTGCAAGTTCTGCTCCGCGGCCTGTAGGCGTTGCCTCCTGGGGGCGGCGGGGGGGGGGCATTTCACGAGACCGCACGCGATCGCGGCTTCTTGTGCCGTGCGACCGAGGAGCTTCCTCGTTGTCTCACCGTGTCCGGCTTGCTCTCTAGCAGGGACCCGTACGTGATCGCCTTCCGCTCCGTCACCCTCCCGGCGGCGCCGCCGTCCCCAAACTTCACGCGGAGCGAGTTGCTGTGCGCCGGCTTCATCGTGCAGCAGCTCAACAGCAGCGAGACTCGGGTACGCTCGCACACTCGTTGCCGTTTGTTGCTGACCGTTTGACGTTAATGACATGGGGGGCTCGGCAATTATTAAAATACAAATCCAAAACCCAGCACGCATCACAGGCTTCCTGTTCTCGTCCTGTGGCATTGTGGGCTGTTGGCACACAACCTTCTCCTTCGACGAAATCTCCTTGCAGTCGCTTTTCACCTGAGCTTCGATCTCATCCACTGTTTGTACTCCCTCAGATCAAGGTCCTCCCTTCCCTAGCACTTCGGGTGTTAGGGTCACCATTCACCCATGTAACCTGACCAGAATATTGTAGCTTCCCATTCTTGACCTGACTCCGTGTCCTTGAGACTTTGTCCATGTCGATTCTTTCCAGGATTCCCTTGTCCACTGCACGCTGATTTATTCCAAATGTTAACATTCTCCGGAAGTGATTCTCTTATTATTTCATGAATAGCATAATATCAATCAACCGTATGTAATTGTTATTCATTGAATAAATTGGGATTACAGATGGCAATCATTGCCTCCTTACTGAGAAAAGTTTACTAAAAAGAGATGGCAGGGGTGAATGTAATTTTGAAATTGAATAGAAATGAGCTTTGAAATTGATGTATTTATTTCTCCGTTCCGTGTTGCAGATTTCTTATTACAACCAAGCCACACCGGCCGTGCTGCCGTACATTTCCAAGGACATCGCGGGCCTCTCGGTTGAGTCCCATGCACTTTTCCTGGCCTGCAAAACCTTCCTGGAGAACAACTCCAAACTGTGATCGGCGTGCGTCTGTCCGCCGGTCGGGGCGTGTGTGGGGCACGGCGGGTTGTAAGCCCCCGACTCCCAGCACCTCGCAGACACAGAAGTACGACTCCACGGAGAGAGGACTTGTCGCTGGTCTTTGCCCAATGATGGCGACGGTGGGTTTTTCAAACGTGGTTTGTGTGAATAGAATCGAGGAAGTGATTGCAGCCGGAAGCTGCAGCGGCACGGACTACTTAAGACCGGATCCTTCCACAACTCGTGGAATGTGATGCAGACAAATGCATGGTGCAATTTTTTTTTGGATGAACGTCATGCAGTTTGAAACAAGGGGAGTTTGGTGCCTCCAGTTCATATTTGCAACGAGTTCCACCTGCGGATTTAGTAATTGTTAGTGATGCGTGCTGGTGATAATTGGAGTTGAGCACGGTAGAAACCACGAGGTCAAGATGTGGG